AATTATTATTTTCATTAATATGTCGCAGTCATGCAACAAATTCTGTGATTACACATATTTGTACATTTATATTAATAAAAAATAAATATGTAGAGCTAATGATTGCATTCGAAGACAATTATTTATTATTATACTTGCTTCTTATTACTCCCACACCACATTTGAAATGGATCGCGAGCTCTCTAATAAATTGTTCCATTATATCTCTATATCTGTATGAAAGTTAGCCCCGTTTGATTAATAATAAATCTGGCATTAATCTAACGAAATCTGGTGGTATGTTTGTTGATGAGTTGTAACTTTTTGGGGGACTGTATTCGAATTTTCATTTCTGAGTTTAATGGTTTCTATTGCACTTGTGTGGAAGTCTTCCATACAAGTGATGTCTCACATCTGCTTTGTTGCTATCCTAGGGGCCGTCGATTAATCATGCTAGGGACTGACTTTTTTTTCTTCGCAGTCTTTGTGGAATAGACACATTTCAGTTTTTTATAAGAGTTAGTTATTACTATTATATAGTCTAGCTAGTTTATAATATTTGAAGTATATAATACTCCAAATAAATACTTTTCAGTTAGTAATTAAACTAAAGATTATAAAAGTCGTGTCTTTTGTTAAATATAACAGCTGGGTATTTTGTATAAGTTCCATTTTTCAGTATATATTTGCAGAGTATGGTCTTAGGTCCTGAAAAAATCTGATCCATTTAGAGCAGTAGTCCTCAACCTTTTTTTGACCAAGGACCCCTATGATATTTTTGTTTTTTAGTAGGAATCACAAAGTGTAAGAATAAGAAACTGTGTGATTATTTTAATATGCTATAAATATGCTTTATGTCTGCTATAATGTGTAATGAATTGTATAAGTGTATAGATACATTATATATATAGGCTATACAATTACTTGGAAATTTTTTGGGTTTATTTTCTAAGAAGTGAGGTCTCAGCGGATAAACTACAAGCTATGTATCCATACTTGGTGTATTTGTTTCACGGGCCATTTCAAACCACCGGTTGGGAACCACTGTTTTAGAGTTATTGATCCTTTATAGGACTGATCAAATATTGCTATTATGTTGTAGCAAGGTAGTCTATTGTATTCGTCTAATTACTCTAGTTTTATGTTAAGATCTTATTGTTGCAAGGGATGAATTCATGGTGACTGTATTGATGTAACGAAGAAAGAATTAAGGATAATATAACATTTCTTTGGTTTATCCAGTTCCTTCGATTCTTATTCCTCAAACTCTGCCAAATTTAGAAATAATGTTGTTGTTGTAACCCATGGTTATCTATTAAGCAGATAACATAAACAGAATTACAAAGATGTAAACATGGATTATGATGTAGGTGAGTGATGGTAGGGTGAGACGAAAGGGGATTGTTTAGGAGTAAGAATGGGTTGGAGATGGGTGAATGAATGGATTCGAAATGGATGAACGAATAGATTCGAGATGTGTGAACGAATGAATTCGAGATGGGTGAACGAATGGATTCGAGATGAGTGACAAAGAGTTCAAAGGAGTTTAGATAGACGCAATCTTCTCAATTTAATGTAATCTTCCGTTTTTTGTTTTCAAACTAGTGTCGTGAAGTACAGAATGTATAATTATATATGTAATTCCCAACAATTTTGCTTACGTTTGCCAAATATTTTGTAGGTGACAACAATTTTTGCTAAGCAAATATAAATACAAGACAGTGGCATGCAAAAGTGAACGCAACAAGAAGCAATTAAGTTACCCACTAAAAAAAATAAATAATAAACATACATACAAACACAAGCGAAAATATCTACATATAAAAACATAAATATGTTAATGTGTTTTGCTTGTATATTTTGACAATATAATTTAAATTTAAGCAAAAATTTCTAAACAAACAAATATAATTCTGTTATTCACAGTTTCAGATTTTTGTACGCATAGAAACTTAAACTAAAGCAGGATAAACAATATAAAATAGATCAACAATGGATCCTGAAGCATTTCTTGATATGGCCAATCAGGTCATAAAACTGAAGATGTTTCCATATTTCGACATAGCAAACAGTTTGCTAGCCGCGTTAGGAGTACGCGAGGATTTAGGACCAAATGCGCAATCTTTTTCCCGGAAACATCCTTTGGCTTGTTGGTTGTCGACTATGTTGGTTGTATTCTCAAGTAGTATGGCTGCTAATGCTTTGCTAGGTGAACCTATTTTGGCTCCATTAAAAAATACTCCACAGCTTTTGGTCGGTACTGTTGTTTGGTAAATATATAAAAATAATCTTTAAGTAATATTTAAATAATAATAATTTTTAATAAATTCTTATACTCAGGTATCTGGTTTTTTATACTCCATTCGATATTGGTTACAAAATTGGAAAATTCTTGCCTATAAAACTTGTTGCTAGTGCCATGAAGGAAATTTACCGCGCTAAGAAAGTCTATGATGGTGTATCTCATGCGGCTAAACTTTATCCGAACGCTTGGATAATTATGATAATAATTGGTACACTTAAAGGAAATGGCGCAGGCTTTACCAAATTGTTAGAGAGACTCATACGTGGCGCGTGGACACCAACAGCTATGGAATTTATGCAGCCTTCATTGTAAGTTAACTCTCTCATATTATAATAAAATTATTAATATTTATGTATATTTTTAGCTATACCAAAGCTTCGCTAGTTGCTTCAATAA